TTACTACCAAATCATTAGTCACTTGACCACTTGACCATTTTCCTAAATTACCCCCTTGTATATGATTTGCTTCTTGTATGACTATTTTCAACTCTTCTTAGTCTGTAGCTCTGTAGCTTGACCTGTGCCCTTTTTTTTTTTTAAATATAAAAAAATCTTTTTATTTATTTAATTTTGTTGTTAGTTGTTTTTCCTTTATTGTCGTTTAATTTATTGTTATTCTGTAAAAGAGATCTAACTATTTTGTTGTATAATATTGTTGTAATATGCTGGCATAATTTGTAACATCTCAATAAACAAATTGTTCCAAAAGAAAAAAACTAACTAACAGGACTCAAACATTGCACTGTCATGATATGCTCACATTTTTCAAAAGCTACCCATCTATAACCATCTCTATCAGATGAAATTATCAGATGTAATTGAACAGGCACAGATAAGTATACAGTAAACTACAAATACTGTACATCTAATGTTTCTGACAGTTTATCACAAGGTTAGGTGGTGAGTTTGTGATAATGTTGAAGTCAAAGGTTTCTACTTGACAGGTTGCTGAACATGCTTGTTGATGTTAACAGAGCATAAAGCTATAATATGACCTGTTTAAGTTACTTCAGTTGTGAAAATGCAGGTTGTTATAGAACCACAGTTTAGCAGCACTGAGGTGTGACAGCCAATCTCATGTTCAGTGTATGGACACATTAAACACCACGTGTGTACAGTATGTGTTGTAAAAGTGCTGTATTAAAACTTAAAATGAAAACAAATGGAACATCTTGATTGTACACTTTATAGGTAATATTTTCACGTACACAATTGAGCAAAATCAGACAATATTGTGTCTAATATATACCACAATATTAATTTCTTATTATTGAATTGTTGTAAATAAATATTACATTTGGAACTGGTCAGTGTTCAAAAAATGCTGGGAAATCACTTCATGTGATTACTGATAAACTGTCTGAAAAAAGACAGTTTTTAGAGAAGAAAGAAATCACCCACTGACTTTCAAAGCTGCTAATGACTTTCTACTTCGAGGACCTTCATAGAAATGTAGTGGAGTGAAAAGTATAATATTTGTCTTTCAAATGTAGTGAAGTTAAAGTCATAGGTTCCCAGAAAAAAATGATACTCAAGTAAAGTACAGATACTCAAAAAGTGTACTTAAGTACAATACTCAAGTAAATGTACTTAGTTTCTCAACTTATTTCCACCCTCATTTTATTACTGCCAAATCATTAGTCACTTGACCATTTATTGTTTTTCCTAAATTACCCCCTTGTATATGATTTGCTTCTTGTATGACTATTTTCAACTCTTCTTAGTCTGTAGCTATCTGAACTGACCTGTGCCCCTTTTTTTTTTAAATATAAAAAAATAATTTTATTTATTTAATTTTTTTGTTAGTTGTTTTTCCTTTATTGTCATTTAATTTATTGTTATTCTGTAAAAGAGATCTAACTATTTTATTGTATATTATTGTTGTAATATACTGGCATAATTTGTTGCATCTCAATAAACAAATTGTTCAAATGTACTTAGTTACTGTCCGCCTCTGATTATAATACATCTTTAAAAATTAATATTGATGTAGAAACACTGTGTGTTAATACATGTACAAAACTGGTATTACAAAATAAATCATGGTTCTTAATACATACTCCCAGGTTCTGCTACTAAAAATGTTCAAAAACTAGCAGCTTTCTCATATAATTACAGCATAAACACCAGAAGAAATAGGTGTGGGTATGTGGGGTGATTTGAAATATTGCATTGGATAGAGTATGCTATATTTACGTGCATGTATGAATGTATGCATAAGGAATTTACTTTTTTCTCTGACGCCATGTATTGCTATCTTTTATCATTACTGAGTAACATTAACATTATAAATGCACTTTCATTCAAATGCTAATATGGCACAATTATGCATACAAACATAAATAAGGAAAACACAAAACATGCCAGCAGGGTAAAAGTATAAAATACAAAGATCTAACAATATCAAATAAATACTGCTTTATTCAAAGAGTCTCTAATACACTGTATGCACAGCCTAACTTTAGTCAACGAAACCATGAAGTTGGGTTTTTATTAGTAAACTTGCACTTATGAATGTACATTTTGGTCAAAATGTAGGTAAATTAAATCAGTAAAAGAACTTTTAATCCTCTTTAGTATATTCATTGAAGCCGAGAAGTACATTTTCCCATAAAAGTTAAAGCCTAAGCACTGAATATTTATATTGATATAGATGTCTTTATCTCACACCACAATATAACTGAATACCCATGTAGTTTTGACCTCAATGCGCGTGGCTTGCAGACTTTTATTTTGACATCTCGTACTAATCCACTGCTCTCGCTCTTTCACCCGGAAGTGGTCAAACGCTCATATGTGCCTTTACCCTAAAATCGAAACTTTTTGGACATAATATGTGGTTAAATATTTAGAAGAAATTAACCCCAACGAATGTACAATGTCAGATCGCAAACGAAGCCGAAAGCACCACGAGGACAGGCATGAAAAAAAGAAACACAAGGAGTCAAAACACGATGATGAAGGCAAATACCAACACCAAACCAGAAAACTGATTCAAGAGGTGCAGAAACTCAAGCATGTGGAGACTTTGTGAGTATTTGCTGCATTCGTAATGCTTTCGACGAGACTTTTCTATAATCTAAACTTCTGTAGTTTTATGTCATCACAAAAGTTTCTCGTTTGTCCTGCATACATTTGATGACTTTCTCTTCATTTTCCCTTCCAGCTATGAAAATCCTCCTCCTGGGTTCATTAAGGTTTGGCCATGGCTTGAAGTGTTGTCGTTAAATTTTCCAGATTCATCATAAACTAGTTGTTTTTTCCCCTCTTTTCCAAAATGTGATCTGAGATTGTGTAAATGCATTAGAACTACGCTTTTGAGTGAGCATTTGGCAATACATGCATGACTGCTTTTGCAGGAAGAGGATGACAGACCAGAGGACTGTATCCCTGATGATCCTGGTAATGAGGACGCTAGGAGCTTTTTGGCTCACGCTCCCACTAAAGGACTGTGGATGCCTCTGGGGAAAGAGGTGAAGGTCATGCAGTGTAAGCAAGCATTCAGATGCCTTCACTTCACTGGCGTGATATTTCAGCTTTTACAGTGTCAATGAAGGTGATTGAGAAATCTTAAGTGCACAAACTGTGTGTGTAGGCTGGAGATGTAAGAGGTACGGCCACAGAACGGGAGACAAAGAATGTCCTTTCTTTATCAAAGGCAACCAGAAACTGGAGCAGTTCAGAGTGGTGAGTAACACAAGTGGCCTACTTTTACACTGTAGGCATTTATTTAAAAGCATAAAAAAAAAAAGGCATTACATATACACGATTTGGACATTTTGAAATTGAGATGTGAAGTAGCAGGTCTGATATACAGATTTCTGATACATAATCGAACTCTTGCATGGATAATGTCACGTTTTTTTCCCCTTTTTTTCTGAGGTTCATGTATGTAATTTTACATGCTTTATCTGACACCAAGGTGAATTCCTTGTGTGTGTGTAAACCAGGGGTGTCCTACTGTCCAAACTCGGTCCTGGAGGGCCTGCAGAGTTTAGCTCCAACTTGCCTCAACACACCTGAATGGAAGTTTCTAGTATGCCGATAAGAGCTTGATTAGCTGGTTCAGGTGTGTTTGATTAGGGTTGGAGCTAAACTCTGCAGGGCACCGGCCCTCCAGGACCGAGTTTGGACAGCCCTGGTGTAAACACTTGGCAATAAAGCTATTTCTGATTCTGATTAAAATTAAAATGTTTAAAATAATTTTTTGGTTTCAGCGCCTTCATGCACATTTTGTCCAGGGTAGTTTTTAGCCTTTTTGCAAAGAAATGTTCAGTACTTTTGGTAAAGTAT